GGTTTCTGAGAAGCATCCCCTCTAGATGGTCGTTTATCGCTGGGAATCCTTCAAGGTTACAGCCTTTCTCCGCTGTAGCTCGTGTTGTGTATGGACCCGTTGAGCCATAGGTTCAATATCAGATGTCCAAAGGTGGAGGTTCCCATCGATCAAGGAATGCATATTACGAACCATACACTATTTGTGGATGATCTCAAGCTCTTTGCTGCCAACGAGGATATCATGAAAACTATGGCCGACGAAGTCCAGAAGTTCTTCGAAATAGTGGGGTCAAAGGTGAATTTAGCAAAGTCAGCTACTACTACTGGAGTATGCGCTGATAAGGCGATATTCTTGGAAGGAGCACAAGGTCGAGACTGAGAAGAGGCGGAAATAACTCGGAAAAATATTTCCGTAGGCGATGACTTGGGATGAGGTAGTGACGAACTTCCATAAACGTTACACGAGGGAAATCAATATATCTGATCACGTTGAGGCATTAATACAGTCGGTAGTGCTCAAGAACACGCTCGAAAACATCTCATTCAATCAACGCCTTGGATTCGAAGAGGACGGAGCAGTGGAGATCAGCGCGGCAGAGTTGAGCGCGAGGTGAGTGCAGCGAAAATGCCAGAATACGATCCAGAGCAAGAATCAATAATGAAAAAAACGAATAATTTCAGTTTGATATTGATTTGATTTCGTAATTATTGTTATTTTATTATAGTATTAATAATACTTATTATAATAATTATAATAAATTATAATTATAATTATTAGTGTTATTATCATTTAATAATAATAATAATATTATTATTATTATTATCTATTATTATTATTTTTATTGTTATTATTATCAATATCATTATTATTATTAGTGTTATTATTATTACTGTTGTCATTATTATTATCATTGTTATTGTCAATTTTGCTCTACAATCATAACATCATGTCAATCCTTTAAATCGTTACTGTATATCACATACTGTACTAATTACTATCATTTTGAAAAGTAAAACATTAACTATACTCTGATATTTTGCATTTACCGTTTATAGAGCCTTTAATGAACGTATCCATCATTTCAAACATTTAAACAATTATTTATTCTGTTGCAAAGTTGTGACTGAGATTGTACTACAAACATTTGCACAAAAAAATGAAACTTCACAATTAATGTTGAAAGTACAAGTTTTTACAATTGTTTTACGTGTACTTGCAGTAATTTAAGTTTCTCTAACCTATCACAAACATATTCAGTGCTTAATAAGTATTAAGTGAGGAATTCAAGTCTGCAAAAGTGAGACGAAATTATTTTCGCTATTTTGAATTACTGCTTGATGTAAAAAATTATAAAGAAACTTTTATGGATGCTCAGAAAGATCAATTTTGCTTGTCATATATCGCAAATGCCATGCTGCATTTTGCAAGTTTTCAAATGTTGGCAGGTTCATTTATAACTGATCAAATTGAATTTATTTTAAAGCTTGAAAACTTAACAAAAGTTACAGTTCAAGATTACAAAATAACAGCAAGTCGTGTGCATTTTTTAAAGTATTTTTAAAATGATGATAAGGAACGGTATGAAATAAATAAAATCATTCTAATCTCATGGCAGGTTCAATTTGATAATTATTTCTGCAAAAACGTTTACAACAACAGCTAATATTTTTTATGACATTGTGATGTCGGAACAAGAAAACTAAGACCATATTGAAAGAGTTCAGGAATCGGATATCGATGCAGGCTGCTGTTAATATGAGTATGGACTTAGTCGCTTGAAGATGCATGCAAATAATCTGTGTTGTAGTTGGCAACAGGAATAAAACTGCAAATTGTGCATGAGAATTTTTATGGACATAGAATTGAAGATTTGTATCAAATGGAAAATAAAGATCAATTGCTGGATAATTTTGGAAAAATGAATTTGAGCATATAATAAGTATTTGATATTGGCTTGGATTTTTTTTATTATGGTAATTTGCTTCGTATGTTGTTTTCATCGTAATTTCAGCTTTGATGTTTGCTTATTATTGCATTGTTTTACTGTTTTGCTTGAAATATTTTAGAATGCCTAAGATAATAATCTTCTCAATTTTAAAGTATATTTAAGTTACAAAATATGAAACTGTATAGCCTTGTTTTATTGATAAACTTGAGATGTTCGTTCAAATATTCTAATGAAAAGTTCTCAGTATCTTTATGTAAATTAAATTTCGATTTTTCACTTTTTAATAAAGTAAAAATATTCTTACAAAAAGTCACAATACAAGATGCCACTGAAGTGTAAGTGAAACGTCGTTGTTTCTTAAGAAATATTGCTAGATTTCGATTAAAATTATTGTTTGTGGCATAATTTTTTTCATAATATCTGAAAAAAGATGTAGTAATTATGTTAGTAAGTAATAATAAATGTCTCAAAATCACTAGCGAAATTCGAAAAGCTTATTTTACTGTCAAAAAGATATAATGCTATTTTATACAAAAAATCGAAAAAAATAGTTATATTATTATCAACAAATATTTTAATAAATTTTATATAGTTGAAGTAACCAAATGTGTTACTGTTACACACGAATTATATCTTTGTATTATTTAAGAAACTAAACTCACTTACTTTTTCAATACAGCAAGGGATATGCTCATAAAAATGATGGATAACATTACTGTTATTGCAATTAAAGTAATTAGTAGTTTATAGGCCTTTTTTTCTAATATTTCCATGGGTCTATAAATAGTGTGCATCTAATTTGAAAACTTTTTAATTATTGAAAACGAAGTTCACTTTTAACTTTTAATTGATAAAATATCGGAAAAGATGAAACGCTCATAAACTCTATCCTCAAAATATGTAAATCCAAAAAATGATGATTATAAACGATAGAAATCTTTTTGTTTCACAAAAACAATATTTTAATACTACTGAAAAATTGATTAAAAAAAGAGATATGATGGAAAAAGCTCATTTATAGCTTACAAGCATTCATTTGAGGTTTTTCGAGTTGCTTGTATTGTTGAAGCTACCACAGTAAATGATAACAAAGTTAATCCGATCAAACAGTGACAGGTGATTAAAAAATTTGCTAGTTGTTTTGAATTACGATAATAAAACATTGGACAGGTCATTGCAACACATCTTTCTAAACTATGTATTAATAAACCCAGTGCATTCATAAATATCAGTGTTATTGCCAATGATGTAATCTGAAATTTAACTTTTTTGCATTTTAAAATATAATTAATTCATTTTTGTAATTAATTAATAAAAAATAATCGGTAAAATTGTTTGCTCAAACAAAACAACACTTGTTTTATATCATGCTTTACAACTTTATACACTACCATTTTCCAAATGTAGCATCATTTTTGATTGTTTTTCACGTAAAATCTGTTCACAATCATTAATTTTATGCCTTTATACAAAATTTATAATTGTTCGCAGTCTCATTCAAAGAAAAATAATAATGACATTAATTCTTCAAGTTCAAACATATTTTTTGTGAACATAAATATATCTTAACATACATAGAATCAACGTTATTATTTATTATTTTTCTCAAATTAAATATTCTTTTGCCTGAAAAAAATGCTTTTGAAACTATTTTTGCTTTCATTTATGTTGATTTTATTTTTGTTTCCCAGCAAGATTGAATATAAAATCCAAAATAAAAATTTTTTTAGTAAAATGCGATTGATTGCAACTGACAAAAATATTTGTGTATCATTTTGTAATAATTGTAAAAAATCATTGCAAAGATTCTACTAAAATAAAATCATTTCCCCAAAAATTTCGATAGATGACCTTTATTGGACAACTATGAATATCAAACAGTTTATTTTCGTTATGGTTTTTCAAACGAATTACACCAAGAGCAGCTTCAGTGATTCCTGTTAATGCGTTAGTACAAAATATTGTTGCCAAGATAGAATAGGAATTTCTAAATGAAAAATTTCTTAGTAAAAATATAATCACAAATTTTTGAAATTTTTTAAATTATTAATTCATTAATACACAAATGAAAAATGAATAATTCATGAGATTTATTTATTTAAAGCTGTTTATTTCGTTAAATTTTATAGTTAAGAGTTAACTTGGAGAACTATTATTTTTTAAAGACTTTTGATATATACAATATTTGAATATTCCTTCTTCTTTTCATCTATTATCAGTCATAAATTAGATTACTTTTACAAACTGTTTCAATTGTATTTGTGATAAATTGATTAAATATTTATGATATTTAAAACAGTGTAATTTTGAATAGAAGAAATTTGATATAGCAAAACGTCTGAGTAATAATTATTTCAGTAGTGATGTCAGTTTGAGTGTTATAATGATGATTATGATGATTACTTTTATATTTCTATGGCATTATTTTTCTTTGAATAACTTTTTGCAGCAAAGAAATACCTGAGTAATTTACGTAAAATCAAGACAAGGAAAACATATGCATTGAAGAGGGCCAGTGTGAAACCAACGATGACTGAACCGTAAGAACGAGAGTAGCAAATAACAGCTACCAGATATTCGCTTTCCGTCAGGTTTTGACATCCAATTTCATTTTCTGTCTTATCCATTGAAAATTGAGAGAATTATTCTAGAATTCACTTAACTTACTTTGTTCTTCAGCACTTCCACTAAATAAGTACTGTAAGAAACTACTATTCAAATTATGTCATCAGCTTTTTGAAGCAGTTCACTTGATGAATGAATTAAAATTTTATTAATCAACTTCAAAAATTCAAAATCATAATGATAAAATGAATGTATATACTTTGTGCGATCAAATTTTTGACGAGTTTTGACTGTTATTTGTCAGTTATTTGCTAAATAGCATACGAAGCTCAATGAAAAGAGTTAAAAGACCCATCTCGAAAACTATTTATCTTATTTCATATGTTCGATGTAATTAGTGAAATTAAAAATATTGTAACTTGATTTAGTTGTAGCTAAAACTGCAACTTCTTCACGGGAAAAAGTGAAAACTGTCATGATTATTCTAAAAATAAATTTGCGCAATTAATGCTATACTAATGTTGTAACTTAGTACTTATTATAAAGTAACGAAAATTATCATAATGTAATAAGTAAAGACTTTTTAACGAGGACGGAAGAAATATCTATTAGACCAAAAATATGCACCACACTGATATAATTTAAATATTCTCAAAATTTAATCTTAGCAGTCATTTTACCTGAATGATAAGTGGTGAAAAAAGTGAGCAATATCAATAAAAAATTAATGCATTACATAAATTGCAAAAAAAGACTTGAACTTGACAACCTTGTGAAACTACTTGCTGATTAATAAAATTGATGTATGCAAATTGCTTAGAGCAATTTAAAGATTATCTTGATAATTATCAGGTATGTAGAAAAACTGCTCGATAAGTATCTAATATGTAAGAAATATAGAATTCCGAGAAGATTCATTTGATTTTATTGTGATTAATTTTGATTTCATCTACATTTTTAACACCAAGTAGCAGTTTGCAGAAGTAAATTAATACAGCATATGAAAATTGCTAAAATGTTTAAAGAGGCCTAGCGTTTTATGAAGTTAATTAATACCTTTCCAACTCTAGTTTGTTTACTTAAGAATATAATTGCTACAAATAAAGTCATGCCTATTTTCAAGCATGATTTTGTAGTATCTATGAAAATGTAGGAAAAGTAGAGATGGAGAATAAAAAATAAATCTTTAGCGGAATACAATTTAATTTTTCTCTTCAATTTCCCCCATTACAAACTAAGAATGACTTTTAAAAATTAAAATGAATGCTGCACTCCATTTAATGAACGACTGATTGATTATATTTGAGAGGTCATCAACATAAAATAAATTGATAACCAAATAATACTGTTTGTATCATTCATGATTCCAAGTAATGAGTTTTTGAATTATATTATATAATATTATATATTATGAAACTTCTCAACTTTGCGAGATGCTGAGCGGTTGACACCGAGGTTGACTCTGAGTGGTTGACACCGAGGTTGACTCTGAGTGGCTGTATTCAAGAGACATAAAATGGAGGGTAAAAGGAAAAAGAGAGCATTTGGAATCATGAATGAAGACCATGGAAAAACAGATGAGTTTGGAAAAAGTCATATGAAGGGTGTGAGAAAAGGCTCTGCCAAAGTACCGGAACCCAATGCCAGTAGAATGATCATGCTTGAAATGCTCTTTTGTGGAATCGAAATTTTGCAAAGCAGGTAGCCAGGAGAGGTTCTGAGAGCGGTCCTTAACCAGTTTGAAAGAATGCTGAGAATGAGATGGCCATTGTGTCGTTTCTTGTACA